CAAGCGCAAACCGCAGAAACTGACGGTGGCGATGAAGAATGGGTATATGGGAATACGCGTCCTTCAGGTCTATTGCTGCAAGCCAATCCAGAGGACGAACGCACCGGAGGATGCGTTTCTGCGTGGGCATTCTAAATGGCAGCTTGTGCAGACAGCGGTTCAAAACGCGCAGATCTAGGATTGGCCGTGACCCACCGCTCTTTTTGGGCACGATGAAGTGCGGGCTGTAAAACCCGCTCTCCATCTCGGCTGGAGGGACCGGCTCAATTGCATCCTTCGCCAGGAGGACAGCAATCTCCTCTCGCAAGACAGGGGCGGACAGGGGGCTGAACCTGGTGAATACACACCCGTGAACTTGGGGGGCCGTTTCGCGAACTGAATTGCATAGCCGACTCTGATTGTGCGTATGAGCCACCGCGAAGGGCTGGCCGGGCTAACCAGGCAGGCCGAGCTCTCGCTAAAGGACTCAAACCTACAATTGCTTTGCGGTCGTTACCAGACTTAGCAGCGCTAAGATGATAGATGATATTACCCATTGCCTCAGACTGCTCTCTCACCGCCTTGAATTCCTGGGTGAATTCACAGACGGTGTCACCGAACAGGCCAGCTTGGGATATGGGGGAGTCAAGAAAACGGACTTTGTCGACTTCGCGCATATCAGCCAAGTTTAGCTAGAGGTGGCGCTCCTAGAGGTGACATTGTCCTCCCCAACGCACACGCAGCGGACTTAGTGGTCCGAAGAGCATAGTCGGATGCGGTGCGAAGCTCACAAGCCTGGGTTGGAACCACCCTAGTGCAGCTCGGCCAGCGCCTGCGCTTGGTAGCGGTGGTAGGTGGCCATCGCGTGCAAGGCGGAAGTAGCCTGGCCCGCAGACATGTAAGCTCTATAGCTCCGAGGGAGTCAGATAACTTACAGGCTTTGGACGGGAGACGAGGTGGACCCTGCTAAAAAGAGGCGCCACACGGACAAAGATTGACCGCAATCGCGCGCTCAATCTGAGGAATCGCCACATACCCCCTGGCCGCTCCACCGTCAAGAGTGGTAAGGGCGGAGGGACACGCAGCACGGGCAGAAAAAAGTGCCCTTTAAGACTGCGTGAGCCTACTGTGCACCACCGAGAAGAACGGGACGAGAGGCTTCGAAGGCTTCGCCCTCTGGTCCTCTACGTAGCACCCTTCTAGTCGGTCTGGCCGCAGAGCTGGGGGATAAACCATCTCCAACCCACGGCCGAAGCAGCCCGGGAAAGCACGGCTAACATGTCTGTGTCAGGATCCGTCTTGACAGCGCTCACCTGCCCGGAGGGGGTGAGCGGGTCTGGATCATCATCGGACACTGAAAGCCCACCCTCCGATGCCGCGGTGGACGTCTGGTCTCCGGTGTCATCGAGCGTAGGGGCTACCATATGGTTAGACGGATCGCTTCCCCCGCCCGAAGCTTGGATGAAGCGTTTGGAGGAGCGGGAGGTCCGCGGGCCCGTGGGCAACGGATTATCTCTCGCTGAAACCCTCAGATCTGCCCGAGTGCCCGCTGCAGTGCAGGGGACAGCTGGGGTGGTTTGCCCTTTTGCAAAGGCTAGCCGCGATCTTAACTGCGCAACAGTCACGGCATCGCATTAACGACATGAACTGCCCGCGAGCAGCGCATTAACATGCTGGACCCCCAGGCATGCAACGCAGAGCCCGTGCCCATCATCGGAAGACAGGAAACCACTGCATCCAGAAACGCACGGTCGGAGCGCCATCCTGAAAAGGACGTGCTGCACGACTGTGTTGCTCTTTTTGTGAAGTTGCAACTTTATACGCACCCCTCTGGAGGACCGGACCCAAAGAACGCCAGGCAAGGGAGAAACCCAGCTCGACCGTCTGCCGCTGCGTGTACCCACTCTGGACCGGGAGAATGCTCTCGTTTGCTCGAAATCGCTAGATCACAGCAGGAGGAACCCTCATCGACTCTCTCAGAAGGCTGTAATAGTCTCTGAAGCGAAAAGAATGGCGTTTACTTGCTTCAGCTGTGCTTATATGCAGAGATAATTGGCATTAACGCACACGTGCGCAAGCTTACACTGCCAATTCATTGGTATTACATTGGCCCGTTGTATACTCTTTCAGACGATTGGCTTTCTGAAACGAAATCCCCATTCGTGGATTAATAAATTAAATCCACTGATAGCATTGAAGTTCCCCATCTGAAGGGGAATAGCAGCTTTTACTACAAAGTGCCATAGTTAACTAAGAAGTTACACAAACAGCTGTCAATATCGCAGAATCATTACCTGTGCTTTGAATATCACACGATTATATCACATGATATGTTTTCGTAGCTTGTAAGTGAATTCTGGCTTCGTGTAAATGCTGCTTAATCTGAATTTACATGTTGGTGAATTACTGCTTATTACACAACCCGCTTTATTGACAAATGTGCATAACAATATGCAATGTGATTTATTGTACAGGTCTACAATAGAGCATGTAAAACTGTGTGTAAGCCAAGAAGTACATCTGAAGTCATAGGGCTCTATTTTGACGATCTAGGCACAAAGTCCAAAGCGCAGGGCACAAAAGGGCTTGTGTCAGAATCCACTTTTGCTATGGTACAACAAGGTTGTGCTTATTTTCTTAATGAGTTATGTGTTTTGAGAATAAACCAATCAGAGTCTTATCTCCCATTCCCTTTATGAGTCAGTTGTGTTGCAACATAGCGCATTTGCTATTTACATGGCAACGTTGTAGGAGGAAAAACTGAGCGCTCCACTACCGAGAACAGTTAAACAGCATCTGCAGTGTGAGAATGAGAGAATGGGCCTCCTCATTCTTTACTTACACTTTTACTGTCTTTCGTATATAAGGAAACGTGTTGTACACACAGACATTCTATAGCCTACATAATTATTTTTGTTTGTTAGGTGCAAATATTTGCTTCAAAACTATTTCTATATTCAGTTCTAATTTCCAGCAAATGAATAAATGAACAGTAATAACAAAGTGTGTTAAAAAAATAGTTATATCCAAATACACATGCTATGCCCCTTATGGTCCAAAACCCCACAGGTGGGCAAATAAATATGCATATAATAAATACTACTACTACTAATAATACATTATACAAAAGCAAATTGTCATGAATAAACTGAAAAAGCCCCCTGAGATGAAGAAGGCATGCAGGCAGTGGTTTTTATATTTATGTAGAAAAAAATAATTTTTGTAGTACTTAATTCCTTTTATTCTTTTTAATTTGTAAAGATATTTGTGTATTGCTGTAGGAGGTGCACATCTAACGCACTCTGCGCTGGACTTTAGACCTCCTCTCAGCTGGTCTATTATGCAGTCTATTTTAGTTCCTCAAATTAGCAAAGCGCCAGCAATGAGCCTTAACACACCTCCTTTTTAAGACCAGAAAGCCTATGGGCGCACATATGAGCGCAAATGCATTCGCGATTTAAACAGCGTTGTGCAAAATATCAAAACGACACTTGCATCCAGCTGAAACTAGCAAACAACAACTGTGTCGTGCCTTGCGCCGCATTGCACGGGGTGTATAACAGGGCCTATTGTATTTTTAAATCAATAGATCTGAAATACCCGGATGTCCTATTACTTCTTTAGAGATTCTAAAGTGGACACTTTACTATTCTTTAAAGTGTTAGTACAACCAAATGAAAGTTATGTCATTAATTACTTACCCTCATGTCATTTAAAACCCCTGAAGACCTTTGTTCACCTTAAGACCATAAATGGGGTTAGATGTTTATACATCACTACACAGTGCTCATGAAAGTGTGCCCTATACTGACACTGAGGAGAAGAAACTGTTGAATAAAGTTTTTTTTTTTTTTTTATGTGGGCACAAAAATATTCTGGTAGCTTGGCGATATTTTGTCATTTATCCATATTGTCTGTTTTGAGGATGTTTTAATACCGTTCTGGACTTTAAATGAGTCTGAAAAGTTTGCTGCATTTTACAGGGGTTTAGGAATACCTTATATTTTATATAAAATATCTTAATTTGTAAAGATGAATGAAGGTATGAAGGGTTTGGAATGACATAAGCTTGCTTCAGTAATTCATAACATACAGTAATTTTCATTTTTGGGTGAATTAACCCTTTAAGGGTGCAGTTTATGAATAGAAGTGAAGCAACGCAACTGATGCTGGCAGGTCATATGATAATGACAACATGCCAGATATACTGTAGCACCTCCAAATTTACTACACATATTCATACTGTTTAGCACATTCTAATGGTCATGACATATGTTTAAATATACTAGCTACTCACTTAGACCTTTGGACATAGTGAGTCTAAAGACCTCAGTTAGCAGGTTCAGGTTTAGTACAATTTTAACAACCATGGTTTAGGCATATTTGAACATAGTAATTCTGCATCAAAAAAATGTGCCATTAATGACCTCATTGAGCTGTCTTGACCTGACAAAAAAAAAATAAAAAATGAAGGATTTTGTTTGTGATCAATTACCAATTTGACTCAAAGAACCAAGCTTAATCATAAGTCATAATAAGAAATGCGTTACATAGAAAGCAGCAATGTCTGTTTCTCTTGGTGTTACTTCATCCTAAACGATTGTGCAATCGCTCTTCTTCAGGTGCAATACAAGAATGCAATCCAACAAAGCCTCAATTTCCACTCTAATTAATAATCTACATAATTTATTAGAAAGAATGCGAATGAAGACAGAGCTGATTTCTCAACCCATCTTTTTTTTATATCACTTTGAGTACAATCACAAAAATATAAACAAGTGGACTCTGACCAATAAGAAGAGTCTCGTGTTTCACTCACATGTATTTTGGAACTGACAAGCATTTTGGTTTACTATAAAATGTTGCCCCGTCTAATCAACCAATCCAAAGAACTTTAACTAATTTAACCAGTGCCTGTTTTAGATATAAACAAATGATCTACAGCTTTGAAAACACTCCTAGATCACTGACTCCAAAAGTTTACACTATAAACTAGGGCATGTCCTCTACCTGTTCTTCAGTTTCTGGTCGATCGTGTGGTTGAGGATCTAGTGCGCCCCCTGCTGGCCATCTTGGACAAGCCTGAGAAGCTTCTGTTGCTGAGGGAGGTCAGGTGAGCAGTGGAACAATGTCACCCTGTACAATACTTTATTTATATAAATCCTGCATATGTTTACACTATCCATTCTAACGCACTGTTTTGTAGAATGATCATTCCTGCCACAGATCTGGGCCGTTTTGACAGTATGGTCTTGCCCTTTGAGCTTGAAGCCTATGACATACTAAAAAGCCGGTCTGGTAAGAAAATGTTTTCTTTGAAAAAATAACTTTTTTATTTTAGTTGCTGCAATAAAGTAGGAACTATACAGAAATGTCAGTCAGAAATGTACATATACCTATGGTAGCCCGTTCTCGCCTTTGAAGTCGGAATTGCGAATTATTAAGTCAGAATTCTGAGTTATGAAGTCAGAATTGCGAGTTATGTCAGAATTCTGAGTTATAAAGTCACAGTTCTGAATTGTGAGTTATAAAGTCAGAATTCTGAGTTAAAAAGTCAAAATTAAGAGTTATGAAGTCAGAATTGCGAGTTATTAAGTCAGAATTGCGAGTTAACTTAGAATTCTGAGTTGTTAAGTCAGAATTCCAAGTTAGTTATTATATCAGAATTTCGAGGTATAAAGTCAGAATTGCAAGTTTTTAAGTAGGGATGGGCAGGGTAGGTATAGACAGTAATAACTGTGACGGTTGGGTTTAGGGTTGTGGTAGGTGTAGACGATAATAACTGTGACGGTTGGGTTTAGGGTTGTGGTAGGTGTAGACGATAATAACTGTGACGGTTGGGTTTAGGGTTGTGGTAGGTGTAGACGGTAATAACTGTGACAGTTGGGTTTAGGGTTGTGGTAGGTGTAGATGTTAATAACTGACAGTTGGGTTAAGAATTGGGGTAGGTGTAGACGTTAATAACTGTGACTGTTGGGTTTAGGGTTGTGGTAGGTGTAGACGGTAATAACTGTGACAGTTGGTTTCGGATTGGGGTAGTTTTAGATGCTAATAACTGTGACGGTTGGGTTTAGGATTGTTTTAGGTGTAGTTGTTTAATGACTGACAGCTGTGTTTAGGATTGGGGTAGGTGTAGATGTTAATAACTGACAGTTGGGTTTAGAATTGGGGTAGGTGTAGACTGTAATAATAAAAAGTTTTTAATAAACTGTGCTTTGTAAAAAATCTATAGGTTGACATATACAATTTTTGTAAAGTTATAAAAATAACTGTGAGTAATATAGTGTGGTAAATGTGAAATATTTATGGAGTGTTTTTTGGTTCTCCAGTGAGGTCTCCTGTCCTTCGTTCTCCTCGACATGGAGGAACACCCCGTCGCCATCTAATAACACCCATCCCAGGTAACTTTCCTGCTGCTCTGAACGGGAGTTTTTCATTCTTTCATTTCTCTTGTGCTGTGCCATGCCCTCTTACTGATCCTTGTTGGATATTATATAACCAGAAGATGCAAACAGTCTTCTGCACCAGCCATCTCATATCCTGAATGATTGTCTGTACACTTACACACATACATAAACTACAAATATCCTGTTGCTGATATTTAATCCAGACCCCCCCTCCCACTACACACATACACACACACATACACAGTCCTCTCATTTTCTCATCACTTTTTGACAATGAGAACATTTGACCATTGTAAGCTGCCATTTGGGGCCACAAATGCATAATTTGCATTATAGACAAACATGCATCACTGCCAAAATAAGATAATCTGTCTCTTATTGCCAAATAGCCTGCCTGCTGACACCGCATGACCTCCTGACCTCTAACCCTGGAGCGCACAGTACCCGATGTCATTGTCCACAGTACTGGTCTACATGTGCGTCTGACTTTTGAATGGAAGTCGTTTCTGAAATGCAAGAAAGGCGTCTGCATTGTTTAACCTTCAAGCATCCACCCACACAGGTCTGAGGCTTAATGCAGCTCCTTTGTAGTGTCTACAGAGGAGTAATTTAAAACTCTCTGCGCTAGAGGCCCCTGAAATCTGAGTGAGATGTGCATGTATGCAATGCCACACCGCTGCTGACTCAGTGCATATGAATGCATGATTGTCAATCACATTTCTGGATGAAAGAGAAAGTGTGTGTAAGGTTTGGTAACATCTGTACTGATTTAAGGAGATAAAAATGAATTCAACATGATGCAGAGAGGTCTTGATCACCCTCAGGGGTTTTATTTTGTAATAACAGTCAGTTAGATGTACATGATCCTGTTTATTACACAGCTACTTACCACATACATAGGGATCTCATGCAAAATAATGATTTGGGTCAAAATATTTGATTAACTCACTGATTGTAAAGCTTCTACAAAGAAAGCAGATGTGATTAAGCAAAGCTGCGATTATCAGACCCAAATTCTCAGTGATGTTTGTCATCAGTAGTATCTTGAAAGCCAGAGGGTGCTCTCGCATAGAAAATCCAAACACCCACGAAGAAGTAATTCCCATTGGGTTTTATTGTAAACAAGATTCAACTGCCTTTATTGATTTAGCATGACTAACCCAGGAGACACAGGACGTCAACATGATCTCAGATTGATGTGATACCCCAATATTGTGGGCGTTGTATTTTGCTTGGATATGAAAAAGGGATTGACGTCAAAACCCAAAATCAGGCTGATGTCAATGTCCAATGTTAGACTGTGTGGATGTGGCAATGACGAATTGTTGCCAATTTATTAAAAATAAAAAACCTTAAAAATCACATGTACACAAGTCTTCACAGCCTATGTCGTGAAACTCTAAATTGAGCTCAGGAACATTTACCACAGGTGAACTCTAATTAAGCTGCTGAAACATCTCTTAATTGGAGTTCATCTGTGGTAAATTCAGTTGATTAAACATAAAAAAGGCATACACCTGCCTATATAAGGTCCCAGGGTTGATAGTGCATGTCAAATGATAAACCAAGCATGAAGACAAAGGAATTGTCTGTAGACCTCTGAGACAGGATTGTCTCGAGGCACAAGGCTGGGGAAAGTTACAGAAAAAAATTCTTCTGCTCTGAAAGTTCCAATGAGGACAGTGGCCTCCATCATCCGTAAGTAAAAGATGTTTGGAACCACCAGGACTCTTCCTAGAGGTGGCCGGCCATCTAAGCTGAGTGATCGGGGGAGAAGGGCCTTAGTCAGGGAGGTGATCAATAACACTATGGTCACTCTGTTTGAGATCCAGCGTTCTTCTGTGGAGAGAGGAGAACCTAACAGAAGGACAACCATCTGTGCAGCAATCCACCAATCAGGCCTGTTTGGTAGAGAGTTCATACAAAAGCCACTCCCCATCTGGAATTTGCCATAAGGCATCTAAAGGACTCTCAGACCATAAGAAACAAAATTATTTTAATTTAATACATTTAATACATTTTGAAATAAGACTTTAACAAAAAAAATGTGAAAAAAGTGAAGAGCTATGAATACTTTCTGGATGCACTGTAAATCTAACCTAATATTATTGTCTTATGACATTGTGTTTATGCTGGAAATAATCACACAAGCACGGACTCATCTATATTTGGATTTATTTCAAACACTTGACTGAAGTTGTGGTATTTTCATGTGCTTTTTCAGATGTAGCAGCATTTATTACACAGAGCCGTAGTTCACTAAGAAGTGACTTAAACAGCTGTCATTATAACAGAACGAATATATCAGTTGCAATATTGTCTGATTAAATTGATTGAAATTTTTTATGTAGTTTTGCCTAGTTTGTTGGTGTACTATGACATTTCTTACTGTATATGGTACTACTGTGTACATACTAAATATAATGCACATGAAAACTGCCTTTTAATAATTAGCCAGACCTAAACTGAGCAAGCAATATGCTATTTAGCTTTATCATTATCATGCAGCAATTGACCAATCACAATCAAGTATTCTAGACAGATGTGCAATAAAATCATATGTATGTATCCAAACAAGATGGTTTTAATATCCTCTTGTATCCTCTCAAAGATTACAGGGGTGGATTTCACCTTCAGCCGGTGCAGGATCTGGAGAGGGAACGACAACTCATTGAAGATTTGGAACGAATGCGTTTGGCAGGTTTACCGACTGGACGACTTCCTCCTCCTCGAGCTTTCACCCCTCTTTTGGATGTACCAGTAGACACCTACATCACAGACTCGCTCCGTAATCGCTCTTTGAGTCCTGCTCGGTCCGGCTTTTCACACTCAGAGTCCCCTTACAGCACAGAACGCACTGGACGTTCCCCCCTGAGAAGGGACAATGGTTTCCCCCATGACTCTTTATCCAGCAGGGGTGATTCTGTCCCAGAACGAGGAAGGTCTCCCTATAGGAATGGACATAGAATGAAAACAGACAAATCTCTGAATGGTAAAGAGGTAAAGTATACTGTAATGAGTGCACACCGCCGGAGCAGGACACCATTGTCCCAGGTGTTTGCGCCCAGCCCAGAACAGCACTGGAAAGAACCAGTGAATGGACACTCGGACAGCCAAGACAGAACAGAACAGGAGTACGTACTAACCACGGTAACCATCTCAAAGACTAAACAGTCCCTGGGTGAGTTACTTGAAGCCATTGTGTTTGACTTTATATTGAATTTTTTTTTCAAACATCCTAAGCTGTTTGTTTGCTGAGCTTCTCCATGCAAAAGTTGTCATCTCAATGCTGGGGCGTTTTGATTTGTTGCCAGGTTGCTATGTGTTTCTCATGTTTGTACATGGTTTATAGGTTGTTTTAGAAGGTTGCTAGGTGGTTTCATATAAACTCAATCTGTATTATATTCTAATCCATAGTTTTGGTTTGGGCCTGTCCTCTGTATTGGGATTTTTCTTATTCACAAAGCAAAAAGGACAAGTTTGATCACTTAGATAAGTAATCTCTCCTCCAAAGGCCCTTTCATGTCAGAAACATAAACAATGAGTTACATGCCAAAGCTTAATTCTTAGGGTTAGGGGTTTTTTAAACCTCTAACTCAAAATGTTACTGAAGCCTACAGTATTTATACAAAACCCATTCTCAGAATTTGTCATCTGCATTTAATCCATCCAAGTTAGTGCACACACATTAGGAGCAGTGATTATTGAACACACATTCACTTACATACTATGGACACACACCCGGAGCAGTGTGCAGCACTTGTAGGTTAGGTGATTTGTTCAAAGGTGCCTCCACTGTGGGTAGAGATGATGGAAGAGATTGCTGATAGGACTGAGAATCGAACTCATAAACTTTGTCAGACTTAAAAAAACAAATATTGGAGAGATCTAAACTTTATCATCTGCAGACATCCAAAAATGTTTAGTTAGGATTGCAATAAGTACCTGTTACTTTTAAGGACATTAAAAGTGATCGGTTAACATTTGGATGGTTAAATCATTTATGTTGTTCTTTGTGCAGGTATAAGCATCTCAGGTGGGATTGAGTCAAAGGTGCAGCCAATGGTGAAGATAGAGAAGATCTTTCCAGGAGGAGCAGCTTCAACCAGTGATGTCCTGAAGGTAAATTAGCCACCGCTACAGGCTTAGCAGTGTTGCAGTTGAGACCATTATATTAGCAGGCCTCAAAATTAAATTAACCGGTGCTCCTAACTGAAATAATTTAGGCGCACAATATATAATAACACTCCAGTCAGTTGAACTGAAACCTCCTCCTGGTCTCTGTCTCTGCCAAAATGAGCTGGTCATGACTTCAACGCTGATGCTAATGATGCATAGGAGAACAGTCATCCGACCTGTAGAGTGTGCTTCACTTAATGCCACGTGCAAAATGTGATACAGCATATACAGTATTACCATCTGTTTCATCTTGTCATGTTTGTACAGCATGCATTAATGTGGTATTTTACCTCAAAGCTGTTTCAGTGATGTTTCTAGGCTTGCGCAGGTGTTCAGCAGGAATCTCAGGTGGATGCCTCTACTTGTCCATTTAGAGTCTTAACAGAATGACTACATATTTGTATTTCCTCCCTTAATGGATAACTGCTTATTACAATCACACCTAACCTCAAAGCCATACCTTTGACTGTTATTCTGGTCCACTTTGAATAGCATATATAGTCCACTTAGGCAGGATCCAACATGTAAAATGACCAACCAAAGTTGAAATTGGATGAAACAAAGTGGTTCATGATCTCATCTAAACTCATGAATGTCTTTTAACAGATTCTATACTATTTTGCTGTATAAAATTCATTAATGATGTTGGAAGGATTCGTCCAGGCATTATTTACTTGATGAATAATGTGTTTGACTTCAGATCATTAATTAGGTGGGTCTGGTAATGATCCGTTGCTACAAGCCAAGTTGCTGGTTTCTGTTTAGGTTATACCTTGCACTCAGTTACATTAGCTGAGCGGAGAGCCATTTTTATATGCTGAAGTGGCACAACTCATTCATCATTGATGAATTACATCAACCAGGCTAGAAGTTTTTATTTTATTTTATTTGAGTCAGCTGCTTTATTTTAAAGTCTCCGCTTTCTGAACATAGGCTGTATGTCTCTGCTGCTCGATTCTGGCTAGTTTATGGGGTATATTTCCAGAACAATGAGATACTGCTTAACTACCATAGTATGATGCAGTGATGAAAAATCTAGCTAGTCTGACTGTATCCTGAACTGTGTCATACATCTGTTATTTAAACCATGTTTGGTAGAACCATTGTTTTGTGATTTCAAGCATTTGGAGTGAAAACTTCTGCTAATGAAAAATTATGACATCTCATAAAAAAATATATTATTTGGATAAATAATAGATGTGGAAAGAACTGCTTCACTGTTTTGTTCTCAGTTATTTGACTATTACTTGGATTTTCGAACGTCACTCTGGGTATCTACCATGGTACTATTCTACTAGTAGCATTGATACACTGTAAAACCCAACAGTCCACTTTATTAAATAAATGAGTGTAGAGTGTTTTGAGTGTAGTTAACTTAAAATTTACTGAACGTTAATTCTACTTATTTGAAAAGAGTTTTGAACTCAGTGTTGAGGTTAATGAGTTAATTAAATGCCTCATTACTTTAACTTAAATGGAATTTGTTCATGGTACTTCTATAAAGTTTTTTTAAATCGCATGGTTTGGTGCAATCGTTTTCCTCAAATGGTTTGAGTGGCCTTAACTTATTGGGTTTTACAGTACTCAGTTGGTTTGAGTTCTCTTTATTTATTGGGCTTTACTGTTCTCAAATTGCTTCATTATTGCTGTTTTTTATTTAATGCCATGCAAAGTCAGAGAGCGATAAGCAGAGTGAATATGCTAAATCATTCTCTGATGTTAGATTGGATTGAACATAAACCAATATTCCCCCCCACATGTGACACTCACTAGTTGCACATATGAAGCCACACTCAATCTTTATCCTCATGAATTTATTGCATAGGGTTTTCCACTTCTGTTTAACCTTCTGTTAAACCTTTTCCACTACAGGCCGGAAACATCTGGTCAGGTTTGTGGGAAAAACTTGTCAAACTTGTCAAGCCATGAAAGAAAAACGAAGTGATATTGTCTCCTTCGAATCATATTTAATCTGTATTTCCTGTGTGCTTGTTTTGTGCTATCGAGTTGTGTTTTACTGTAACTGCAGCAGCTCAAGGCATTCAAGCCTCAATCTCATCCATAGACTAACTTTTATTACGATGCCTCAAAAGAAAAAAAGATTTGATGGATTTACGTCTTGTGTTTTGTGCATTGGTAAACACATATTTGTGCACTTTGTTTAGTCTTTAGGCCTAAAGGGGTGGTCCACTATGAAACCATATTTACAATTTTTAGTTGATAATGTAGCTGTGTGAACATAACATTTCTAAATGTAAGACACTCAAAGTTCAATGCAAAGGGAGACATTGGCTTTTACAGAGTTAGCCTAGCAAAGCATACGGCAAACAAAGTTTGGAGACTACAAAGAAATACATCCGGGTTAATGAGATCTTAAACCCTTCAGGTTCCGTGCATACACCCTGCGCAGTGAAGGGGTGTGGCCAGATGCGCTGTAATGTTATAGCAGAGAAAGCTAAAATGCAGTCTAAACACTGCTATTTCCACAGAACTTCTTCTCTTTCTGTATTTAGGCTTCAAAAGGACACGACACAAGACAGAAGTGCTTAAAATTTAATTTCCAGAGAATGATAAAAAAATATATAGCTAGCATTTGACAAAGGATAGCTTTAAACTCCTCAAAGGAGGAGCAGCTCAACTATGATAGCAGAATCTGTGGATTGTGAGCCACAACCTGTAAGTTTTTTATTTGTTAAAATTTATCTATTACATGCAAAGTTAGTGTTATGATATGTTGTAGCAAGGATCTAAACAAGGATGTAAACAATAGGAAATGTTGTTTGGCACTGTTAACAATTTAGCTACAAATTCATATTTATCAGTCAAACAGCTGTAAACAGCCACAATCTACCCCAGCACTGCAGTGTCTCTCTACGCAGCCACTTTCCCTGCGTTCTACATCTCAAAAAACAAACTCACAAAAGATATGTGAATGTTTCATATTATGCTTATAACCGGAAAGTATGTGAAAGACAATTGTCATATTTAATTTTAGAGAGCAGTTATGAGGTTCAGCTGTGTCCTCTTCATTATATGTCAGATTCAGGCTCAAACATATATGGCTAACAATTACACTGACTGACAGTATTTATGCAACAGCAAAGTGCGTGCTAGTAAAGGCATTACACTTTCTGGTGATGTAGAGCTGAACTGCAAATCTCAGCACATCATGTTAGCTGAGCAATCAGAGCCCTTTAAGGACGCGCTTTTATGGAACTAGGAAATATGACAGTCATTTTTTCATGTTAGCTGAGTAGCTTTATATAATTTTATAATATATATGAAAAAAATAATGTAATTTTTACAAAGGAAGCATGAGCACACATTGCTTTGCATATTACAAACAATTTCAAGCCTTAAAAATTCGCTCTGGACCACCCCTTTAAACATTGCTGATGAGTGAAAGCAAAAATCTTAACTTTTAATTGGGCTTTGCAATTATTGCAATGCTGACAGTCTTGTTTTCATAATAGACAAAACTGAGACTTTCCCAATCCTAATTCTACCCCTTAGCCCTTCCCCTTACCCCTACCCCTTATTTTGCGCATTGCTGTGAAGGGGGTAGGGGTGTCCCAGTTCTCTTTAGCTTAAAGGCGTAGGGCTAAGGGGAAGGGCTAGATAGCCCTTCGAACAAAGATTTTTCAGGACCACACTCGAAACCAAGAGGTAAGAAAATTTGCAAGAATACACCTGCCACAACGGCAGGATAGCAGCATCCGGAAGTAGGGAGATCCACAAATTTGTATTTTTTGTCATTATTACAAATTTTTTACTTAAAAAAAAACATGTTTTAATATATTCATAGCCACATTTGTGTTTTACAGTCAAAAAAAAAAATAAATAAAATAAAAAACGTAAAATTTTGCTGTTTATAATCCATGATAATAACTCCTGTATAGCAGACCCACAACATTCTGAAACTCGATGACACTAGAATAGCCTGTCAGAAAAGTCTAGTGGCTGGGAATGAGCTTTTTACAGTTTGCTATGATGTTAATGTTGTTTTTGGTGTGTTTACATAGATGAATATGGCCATTGTGTAAATATACAGTACAGTTATGAGCTTATTGCCACATTAGATCGTTATGATAGCATAATATATGCCTTTAGTCATTTCCTTAAGATAACAACACAAAAAACAACTCAACTGGAATCACTACAGCAGTCGCGATCGTCTGATCTCATATAAAGCAAGAGATCGCCATGACATATAATGACGTGTACAGCTGCTGCAATGCTGTCTCATTTCTTAGGGGTAAATTTTGAAGCCTTTTTCTTTCAAAAATAGAATTAGGATTGAGCCTTTGTCACAAGACAGAGCCCATTTTAGGCCTCTACTAAATTTTGACCAAATATGTAGCCACTGCACTTTGCCGTTGTAGGGCAGTATACCGAATGAGGCTAAACGAAGGCTAAAGGTCAACGCAGGTGGCATGATACCAGCAGCACCTCTGTGACCCCGCATACAAGGTTAAAACTCTGGAATCCCATGTGTGTGTCTCTGTACGTGTGTTTGTGAGAAGACGTATCCTTGTTGATTAAAGCCTATCAGGTGACAGCGTTTCCCTGGCCTGCTCTGAGAGACTTGTGTTGCCACACTCAGGAGATCTGGTGTCAGACTCGAAACCCTTCAGCTGCCAAGCACATCCACTCATCTCTTGCCTCCACCAGGGGTCGGTGTGAAATACTAGTGTGTACTTCTATTCATACCAAGGACAGCATAATTTACATTCCACTCTATTGGCTTGTTGTCGCACCCTGAAGCTATGAGAGGCTCTTCAGTGAACTCTGCAGATTAACAGGCCTGCAGAGGAAAGTGTGGAGGTCCCTGTTGACATACTTCCTCTTCCTGATGTCTAACTGATAACTGCATTATCTGAGTGGCAAGTATGCTCCAGTGGCAGTGAGGTCAGGTTTCTGCCGCATATTGTCTCCCTCTTATC